TAATCAATCTCAACAATCAAACAAACATCTTTTTATTCATTATTCACACAATAGATATCTCAACTACATATTCTCATAAAATGTTCATGCAACAGTGCTCTATGAGCACAAAATACATATTGTAATATAACAATAAAACAGAGTCATCCTTACCTCGAAGATGAGTTCACAAAGAGATGTTGAAAAGGATCAAGGGTCAACTATATAAGTTATCCTGAATACCGAGAAATATCCATAAGAAATAAAAACATGAAAAACAATCAGAGAAAATTAAATTTAATCCGAAGAAACTTACTTGGAGCCATTTAGATTTAACATCCAAACTTGGATTTGAAGAGAAATCGGAGTTTCTGAGGCTTTTATTTAGGGAAAATGAAGAGAGAATTCAGAGAAAATTGAGAGGAGTACGTGAGTTTAGAATGAAATGAAATTTTCATGCTGAAAATCTCTTAAATACCCCTCCACCCCGCGTGCTCTCGCTTAACGGATATCTCACTTAAGCGACGTGTATTTTGCCTGAGTGAGATATGCAGACAGTGGTCTCGTCCACTATTTCTAATATGCTCGCTTGAGCGAGATGGCGTCCCAAGAGCACAATCTTCCTCTAGTGGATCCTCGCTTGAGCAACCCATCTTGCCTGAGCAAGATCACTCTCACCTGGACGAGGTGATACTTGAACTAAATTTATCTTATCTCGCTTGAACGAGATAGCCCCACAACATTGTATTCATGCACGCTCAATCTCACTTGAGCGAGATCTCCTACACCAAACTCCTTCTAAAAATCTTATATACTCTCTTCTAAATGCATTCTAATACTACTTAATATTAAACAAAATATAAATTACCGAAAAATAAAAAGAGAGTGTTACACAGTCCATCAATAAATAATAAAATCACAAGTTATATTAATATTATAAAAATTTTAAAAATAAAAGTTAAAAAATATTGAAAACAAAACCTAAATAAAATGTATATTAATAATTATGCAACACAAATATATATCAATATTATAAAATTAAAAAAATTAATTTTAAAAAAATCATAATGGAACATAGTTAAAATATATATTAATATTGATAGTTTATTCAACATAAATCTAGACTAATATCTTAAAAATTCAAAATAGGATATAATTAAAATATATATTAAATAATATTTATGCAACATAAATTTATAATAATATTATAAAATTTAAAAATTTAAAAGCTAAAATTAATATTAAAAATTTCAGAATTTAAATATTTATTAATATTAATACTTATGCAATATAAATTTATATTAATATTATAAAAATTTAAAATCGAACAAAACCAAAACTGAACATAATTATAATATATATAATATGTTATTAATATTAATATTGGATATTTATTTTTTCATAAATCTATATTAAGATTATAAAAATTAAAAAATATAATATAATAACACTAAGTCTACAACATACCACTTGAAACCCTGATCTTCATTCTCCAGAAATATAATATATATAATATTAAGTTTATAATATATTGGGTGAAAGGTAAAAAGCTAATAGCAAAACTAAAATGACACGCAATTGACAAAGCAAAGCTAAACTGACATGCAAACTCAATTAATATAGGAAAAAACGAGTGTGCAACACAACTTTGCAAGCAATATAAGAAAGCAAGGTGTCGAGGTCTTACCTGCAGTTTGCAAAACTCTTTGCATGGAGCCATGCAAAAGGACGCAAAACGCAGATAACGCAATCCAACTAGCCAAGTGAAATGAGTGAGAAGCTAAGAGCATTATGCAATTAGAAAATGAAATCAGTATATCCGATAAACGAAATTAGGAAAGAAACGCATCCAATCTGGAAAATTAGAATATTGGAAGTTGAAGAAAAAAATAAACAAAACATATCCAATCTGTATATTATTCGTATCCTATTTTATTTTTTACTTTTTTAATGGGTATGTTTTTGTTGCATATCTATATATACACAATACATTCCATATTGAATACTTCGTTTATCTTTAGTCTCTCTGATTCTTAAATTCTTTTATTTATCGCCGTTGTTGTTCAATATTTACTTCACTTTCACCTTTTTACTCGGTTCCCTTTGTCTTTGTTCTCACTCACCTTCATCACTTCTATAAGGCACTTGGACTTTTTCCACAAGATTTAACATTTTCTAAATATATAACAACACTTCCCCAAAAGGAACAAGAAGATGAAAAATCTTTTTTCGTATCTGCCACTAAGTTATCCAATAACATCCGACAAATTAAACAAAAAGTCTACCTATCTTTCCAAAAGTGCAACTAATTGTTGGCTTTAATCCCACACAAGTTTCAAATTCCACAACTTGAAGAATTAGAACATAAACAAAAGGAGATTCAACAGTTTGAGGCTATTAAGCATCATAATGGAAGTAGGTGGAAGTAAGTACTACTCTTTTGAGTTTGTTGTTGGAAAAATTGATGTGGATGAGGTTGGAATGAATGGGTCTCGAAGAGAATTAGAGAGATTTGCATGAAAAATGATCTAAGTTTTGAGTGCCAAAGAAGTGTTAAATGGCAATGGTGAAGTTGCCAACAAAAAATGCAAATGTAGACAATGATTGACGATAGTGATTTCCAATTATGGTAATGTTAAAAAATGAAGAAAAAAAGAAGAAGGATGAATATAGATGAAAAGTATCAATATCATAGGTTAAAATACAATAAAAATTACCCAAAAAATTGTATGTAAAATAAATATAACTTTTAATATTAATGGTTGTACTAATTTTTTGAAAAAAAATAAAATCAACTTCTCACATTTAATAATTATAGGATAAACTTAGGTGTAAAGTTGTGATATATGTAACACTCATAAGCGATTAAAGGCATAACGTTATTTTCTACAGATCTCTAAAATATGTAACATGAACATAGGTTATAAAATTGAACTTTGAAAATAATAAATAAAGTGTGTTTTTTATAGTTTTGATGTCTTCCTTCTAAATTCTAAAGTTATATCTAAAATATTTTTGTATTTCACACACATAATAAAATATAAACTATGAAAATGTTCAAAATATAATAGCTAGAGTTCTTACAAAAATAAAATAAAACAAATAATATATTATGTATATACTTTAAATAAATTTACATAAATATCTTAATTTGAGATATATATCAACTTTTGTATAAATAAAAAATTAATTTTTATTCATTATATTTTTACGCTTATGGTGTCTATTATAGAAGTCAATTTAATTCAACTTTATTACTTTCTATTGCACCATTATAATTAAATTTACTTTAATTTTCTTTGATCCCAACATGAGAGACTTTTCTTTGTACCCCTTTTATTCCAATTTAGTTCCTTTTTTCCAGATAACTCTTGTACTCTTTAAAGATTTTAAGTTGTACAGGTTCTAATTTACAAGAGAACCTTCTATCTATTTGCATCCTTGGAAGAAATTGGACAGCTAAGATCACGGATCCAGGAAATGTTTCTCAACTTCAACATTGTAGCTCTGTAAGACTAAAAGTCAATTATAAATAATCAACTAATACATTTATTCAGTAATAAAATCAACTATAATCAACTTCTTTGATTATAAACACAATAGTAGGTAATATTAAAATCAATTTAAATCGAGGTAATAAACAACGGGCAACAGTGTAGTGAATAAAAAATCGATTTCTTATTTGTATAAAAGTCAATTAAAATTAACTTTTATATAATTCAAATTAATAGATTTACATAAATTTATTTAATTCTGAACATACACATAATATAATATTTATTTTACTTTATTTATGTAAAAACCCCTTATATAATTCATGAGAATATTTTTTATATAAATAGAAAAATATCAAATTTATATAACAGTACAGATTATTAAAATTAAAAATTAATTAGTTACATGAATTAATTTAAAATTTAAAATTTAAAATTATCACATACCTTTAATATCTTAATCACGATGGTTCATATATTTTATTAAATTTATTATTTTATAAATTTTTTAGACATTTAATTTTGTTAATATAACCATTAAATTAAGAGTTTTTGTCAAGTAAATCAAGTCTATAAAATTTCATATAATTTAAAAATAAGTTAAAGCTTCACATTGATCATTCTCACTTTTAACGAATGCTATACTTTTTAAAATAAAAATGAAAATAAACTTAATATACTTACAAATATTAGATTTATCCAAAATTCTATAAACAAATTTGTTAAGAAATATCAAATAATTTATCGATTGATTCGTTAAATTTTATACTATAAACTTAATATTTTAAAATTTCAATTCAAAATCAAGAAGTAAACATCTGAAAATTTCAAAATATAGAAGTCCATTTAATTAAATAAGATATTGTTTTGTTGTTGAAACTATAAAAGAATCGATCACAAAAGACGAAAAACGAAATAAATGTTATAACGTTCATTGCTTTGGAAAATACTAGATCCCTATACTCTTAAGGGTAATTTAACAAATAATCAAATATCATTCCTTTTTAAAATGAAATAATTAAAAATATAAAAGTAAAAATATTATCTTAATCTTTAAGATAACAAATTAGTTGAAATAAAAATAAAATATAAAACATTTACAACAATAAACGATAGTTAAATAATTAAATGTCCTTTTATGCCATTTTACTCTAATTAGTTAGTCTAAAAAGCTAATTTTATCAAATACTTCAAATTTAACAAACTTAAACCTTCTAGCTAGCTAGCTAGCTTTCACCTACTGACTCAACTTTCAACAAACTTATCTGCTAATTTTATCACACATCCTAAATATAAACCATTGCCGAATGTTAAAATGATAAAACCTGCCACAGATTCATCTTATCAAAACGATTAAACTGGGTATTCCTAACAATTAAACATGGTCACGATAGCCAATTACACGGTCTGGTCATGCAGCTTGGGTCTTGGTAACGACTGTTCTCTGTTCCCGAAATCGAGTTCAAGCCAAAAAAAATAAAAAGTGCATGATATAAAAGACATTCCATAGGAGAATCACATTTTCATGGATGCAAACCCAAGCTGCATTCAATTTATAAAGGTCATAGTTTAGGAAACTCAGACAACATTCATTAAGAATAAACTAAACTTTCCAAGCTCCATTACAAACTAAAGCCTAAGCATCTATAAGCTAAAGAAAGATGATGCAACAATCTCTAATCAAGGTCACACACAACCATCTGTTTCCTCAATCAGATAACACGGTACAACAAACCTCAAAGGCTATAACTATGCTGTGAACATTTGATCCAGATGGCAATTCTTAATCTTCTTCTCTTTCGGGAGGTAAACCACAAGGCAGGAGCATTTTCTGCACAAAAGGTAGCATTTGTCAAATAAGAGGACAGTAACAACCACTACATTATTTAGTAAGGATGCCTTATAGAGTTTAGTCAAATTTTCCTCTATTCAATAGCTCATATTATATCTAATAACAGCAATCATTGACCACCTTAATATGAGACTTACACTATTAAAAAAGATATACAATCAGATATATAAGAGTTCTATGTTTTCAGAACTGCATGGAAATATTAGATGAGATTATAGGTATCGATTTTCTTCATATTTTCAATTAGTGCAATATACAAAAATAATTGACCCATTTTGTCTTCCAAAAATTTTTGTCATTAAATTAGTTCCTCAAATATTGAAGGGTCACCATATTAGTCCTCCAAACATTTCTTAACCAAAATTAGTTCCTTAAAGATACAAAAATGTAACCAAATTCATCCTTTTATGATGCCAACTTATCTTCCATATGAATAAATTTGGTGACCTTTTATATATTATTAAGGGACTAATTTAGAGACAAAAACCTTTGGAGGACTAAGGTAGAGGAAGTGGCAAAAACCAAATCCTTGAAGAATCAAATTAACGGTATAATCAACAATAATTTTTCTTTCAGCTCTACTCCCAAAATAATGGAAAAAAGATGCTACAGCTTTCAACAACACTACAAATTTTTGGTTAAGAAATATATCAAATCATGTTTTAATAAAATCATGCAAATACAGGATGTGTACAGATTCAATTGAGTAAAACTTGCCACATGAGGAAAAAAACTCAATTTCAAAGATGAAAAGGCGTCTATCTTCTCAAATCAAGTCAATTGAGGTTATAAGCCTGAAATTAAAGTACTCATTTCTCTTAAAAAAAGTTATCAAACCAAACAAGATTGGTCAAAAGTTGACTTTGACCTCTCACAGAAACTCCAAATATTGACAAGCACAGAGTAATGAGCAACGACTGAATAGTTGAAAACAATGACATTGAAAAAAAAAAAAAAACAAGAGTTAACAGCAAGATAAGAACAAAATTGAGCTTCCGTTCGCAAAATAACTACTCTTCATTTAGTAGTATAGTCTCACCTAATTCCAGGCATTCTTCAAGAGGAACAGAAAATGATACATGGCAAGTAAAAGTAAAAGCAGGAAGGGGAATAGAATTACCATTTGTTTTGGAGCTGAAAGGAAAGGAATCAAAGGAAAAAGGAAAAAAAAAATGTTACAGAAACTTAGGAACATGACTTGTCTAAGTTTTTGGGAGAGTTTATCAGTTGGGGATAATCCTTTTACTATTCCTATACTATAGCCTCCATTATCAGCTTCTATCCTTGCTAGGATTCTGTTAGGCCCCTTATAAGTAAACATTATAAGAAGAGAGCTAAATCTTAGGTTTTTTATTAGGATTGAATTGTCTTAGCAGTTATTAATTATTTTAGCAGTTGTTATTTTAATTAGGCACTGGACGGCTAGTAGTGGGGGCAAGCGTAACTGCCTCTAGGCAGTTACGGCAGTTATGAGCAGAATAAAAATATCAGAAGAGGTAGGAAGGAGGGCAGGCAGTTTGAGTGGTTTTGGGAAGGGAGAGACCAGGCTCCTGAACATTTTGGGAGGAAGCCTTTGTACTCAATCCGTTTTGCTCAATTTCCTATGTAATTTGTAATTTCGTATCAGTTCAATTGAATACAATTCAGTCTTTATTCTCACACCAGTTGGTGTCCATCAGATTCTTCCATTTCTTGGAATTTCAATATTCTCCAAAATTTACAGACAAAGAAGCTATGAAAACAGAATCTTTTCTTGATTTGTTTGACTGAGCTGTTCTTTAGTAGATAAATAAAGATATTGACTCTAGCCTCCTCTGGAGTGTTTTCCACATAATCCTATTTTCAGTTCTTTATTCACTAAACAAGGAAATTTTTCAATTTTTTTGCAAATTCCTTTTGGAACTCCAAGGTTCCCCTTTAGGTAAAATATTTCATTTTGACTGTAGTAATTAATAAGATTAATAGATATGTTGTGAAGCTCTCTCCCCTAGTGCTCAATTCAGAGGCTACATTAATTTAATTTCAAATTGCTCAGCTGCTCCATAATTGTGGTATAAGCATCAATTTAATTTCACATTGCTCAGCTGCTACACAATTGTGGTATAGGGTGGTAACTTCTATGAATATAGAATCTGTCAAGAGAGTTCAGAGAAATTTATCTTCTGTCACTTCAGAGGTTTAGGAAAGAACAAACAGGGGAAATCACTTTGCAGGTGTATGGTGTATAATATAACTCACTTCCTTGGTTAGAAAGGAACACTAAAATTTTTAACACAGATTTCAGCCACTGCCTCTCCCATAAGAAAAAGCAAATAACTGATTTTCATAGCCTCTTCATAGTGGTCTTTGTCCAACATGCAAAGAGGTTAGCTAGCTTTAGTTAGCTGATAAGATTTCTTGTGTATTCTTTTTTATATTTTTTTTCTTTTTCCTGCATACTTCTTTGTTTCTCTCATCTAATAATATTTATTTTTGTTTGAAAAGTAAAAGAGAAAGAAGGTAACAAGGAAATTTAAAAAGTAGATGACATTCAAAAGAATTCCTGAATTGATGTGGGGAACTGACAAGTAAGGATTCTGAAAGAGCTTTCTAGGGTGTTTGTCCCTGCCCCTTTGCTTCCTTCTAAAACTCCCAAACACAAAAATAAGCATGTCTATAAAAGGAAACAATGTTTTCACATATAATCCAGTGCAACTGATAGCAGACCAAATTAAAGAAAGTGCATATGAGGCAATATAAGAATAAGGTAGGAGACCAGAACGGAACTAACTAATGTAGTTAGGACTGGTCATTAATAGGATAAGGGATATAAAAGGAAGAGGAGGGAACAGGTTGGTTTTGAGAATTGAGTGGGAAGAGTATTCAGGGTCTCTAGGAGTACCTATACAGATTGTACTGTTTCTACCTCAGGGTCACATTGACCAGAGGTGTTCTTGTGAATAATACAGATATTTTTCTCTTACTGTACTTGACCAATATTATCAACTGGTATCAAAGCTCTATGATCTTGGGCACGTTCATGGTGGGAACAAGGATGGAAAGCCGAATAGAGACATTGGAAAGAAGTTTGTTGGATCTGCAAAAACAGAAGGAAGAGGAAGGTGAACACAGGTCGTTGATGGAGGCTTGGGTACGAAACACTAAAAGCAACGTCGAAGAGATATTACACAGATTAGGAGAGATTCAATTGGGTCTTAATCACAATACCCTTGGGGAGGCCGAAAGTGAGAATGTGGACAGAAACAAGCACGTTGTTGAAGGGGATGATCAGTGGGGGAAACTTGAAATTCCAATCTTCGAGGGAGAGGACACATATTGTAGAGTGGCCCATTCCCAAGGAGGTAAAGGGTTTGAGGGGTTTTCATAGGACTTACCAGCTATTACAGAAGATTTGTATGGGACTATGGAAAGATAGCTAAGCCACTCACTAAGTTGCTGCAAAGAGTTAATTTCCATTAGACAATGGAAGGAAGCACAATAGGCGTTTGATTTGTTACATATAGCTATGACAACATTACCAGTTTTGGCAGTTCCTGATTTTACTAAACGGTTTATTGTTGAAACTGAAGTTTCCGGAAAAGGTATAGGAGCTGTTCTATTGCAAGAAGGGCGTCCTGTGGCTTTCTTAAGTCATACCTTGTCTATCAGGGCTCAACAAAAATCAGTTTATGAGAGGGAGCTTATGGCTACTGTTTTTGCAGTACAGAGTGGCGGCACTATTCAATGGGATGTCACTTTGTGATTCGGATTGATCAGAAAATTCTTAAATTTCTAACAGAGCAGTAGTTAATGGGGGAGAATCAATTTAAATGGACATCTAAATTAATTAGGTTTCATTTTGAAATTAATACAAACCAGGTAATGACAATAGAGTAGCTGATGCTTTGTCATGAAAAATGATGTATGCAGCCATTTCCACCATTACTTTTGATGACTGGGACAAGTTGGAGGATGAAATGGAAAAGGATTCCAAACTTCAGCGATTACGGCAGGATTTGATAGCAGATCCTTTATCACACAAACACTATACTTTACAGCAAGGGAGGCTCTATTACAAAAATAGGCTTGTTCTTGCAAGAAATTCAACGCGAATTCCCTTGCTATTGGCAGATTTCCATTCTTTAGCAGTAGGGGGACATTAGGGCCTTTTCAGAACGTTCAAAAGATTGACAAGAGTGGTTTATTGGGAGGGTACGAAGGGTGACATTCAACAATTTATTGAAGCATGCAACATTTGCCAGCACAACAGAACTCAGACCTTATCACCAGCTGGCCTTTTGCAGCCATTACCACTTCCCAAACAAGTTTGGAGTAATATTTCCATGGATTTTATTTCAGGACTGCCCAAAGCTAGCGGAAAAGATACGATATTAGTGGTTGTGGACAGGTTGTCCAAATATGCTCACTTCTTAGCCTTAGCTCATCCATTCACAGCTAAGGAAGTAGCTCAAGTTTTTATATTGGAGGCGGTAAAACTGCATGGATTCCCTACATCCATTGTTTCTGATTGAGACCAAATTTTCCTCAGTCAATTTTGGTCAGAATTGTTTAGACAGGCTGGTACTAAACTCAAATACAGTTCGGCCTACCACCCTCAAGCAAACGGTCAAACAGAAGTGGTAAATAGGTGTTTAGAGACATATTTGCGATGTTTCACAGGATCCAAACCCAAGCAATGGCCTCAATGGTTGAGTTGGGCAGAATTTTGGTACAACACCAACTACCATAGTTCTGCTAAGATGACCCCTTTCAAGGCACTTTATGGTAGAGATCCACCAGTTTTATTTCGAGGGAATACTTATCAGCAACATGATAGGAGCCAAGCATGTTGAACTTGAAGTAGATAGACACTTCAAAAAGAAGTTGGATAACAGGAAAATTCATACATCATTTGTATCTAAAGGAATTCAACACACAGATGTACTGATGAAAGATTAAGTAGTTCTACATTTAAGTATATTGTTGGCAAGTTAGGATTTGAAAATGGATAATATCCACTCACTAGTTTGAAGGGGAGTTACACATATCCCCCAGAATAGGTCCAAATTGAATATTTCCTTGAATAGACAGAAGTCACAGAACAAAATCCCATAATAATGAGATTAGTTACCAGTCTGATTATGTATTTATTGGAAGGAATCATTGACACTTTGTAACAGAAAATGACTGTGTAAGCAGTAGTTTAGAAATTTAATTTATTAGATTATTTGTATCCTATTTAAGCTATCACAAACAACACTTTCTGAAAAGAAATAACAAAATAATAAGCTAGCAACATGCATCTATAGTAAATAGAACTAAGGGATGTGCAGCAAGATACAACAACATGAAAAACACCAAAAGAAAGGACTACTCTTAAAAAGAGCATAGCAAGAGGCATTAAAAAAATCATAATAACAAAGGGATGCAGTCAGAATCTCCCCAATAAGAGAACAACAACAGCACTAGCTAACACAACTTCACCAGCGAAGAACTCCAAGTAACAAATAATTTGGTTTTCATCTCAAAAACCCATGAACAACTTGTTTAACCAAAGAGGAAAGTTAACAACACAATGTTTTTTAAAATACTCTTTACTATTGATTGAAATCCATATGTGACCCACTAAATAAGGAGTAGGACACACATAATTTAACAAGTCACACTCACATCACACAATGATAAAGTGTGGCGTCGTAAAGAGTATATTAACAAGACCATTGCTGAATTTCTCTTTCTCTAAAATAACAGTGAAACACACTAATGGATTCGAGAGAAAGACCTAATTTTATGTGAAAAGGTTGGTGACAAGACAATGGAAAATTAAACAGCCAAATTGCAGCATCACACACCAAAATATACTCATCTATCATATGAGGAATTAAAAAAAGAAAAAAATTGCGAAAAAGAGAGAGAACCTGCATAAAGCTGTAGCGTTCTCTTCCAATAGATTCATTTTCAGCAACAGCAAAGAATGCCAGTAAAGGGTAGTGCCCAATATATGATGCATAGCTATCACGCTGAATGTTCACCGCCCACTCACTGCACACACAAATTAACAAAAGGGTTAAAAATAAAAATTGTGAAAAAATATTAATTTGAAGGAATAATAATTAAAAGAGACCGACAATCTGTTCAAATCGGCGTGTCCAGTTCCAACATATTTAGCTTGGAGATGCTCAAGTTGAGAATTGATGTTAAACCTATCACTGGCCTGCATAAAACGCATCAATTATTTCAAAAATTCAATTTCAATTTGCTTAGGTCACAGTTTGAATAGATGAAAATAAAATAAAATTGTGTCACAGCCTGAGCTTTAGAAAGAGGAAGAGAGCGTTTTAAAGACGTTAGGAAAACCTGCATGCTGGCTTTAGTTCAGAAACCACAGACTGTGTTGTGTGATTCGCGAACCCCCAAAGTTCAGAGCAGAAGACCCCAAGTTCAACCCAACGCCTAGTTAAACTTGACTTTAAACATTATTATCATTTTTATATCGTGTCCACCAACATATAAAAAAGAAAATAATAATAATAATAATTATTATTAAAAATATAACATTAATTATTAATGTACAATTTTTATATTCAACTAGTGAATATCTCAGTGCAATGCACGAATTTGTATAAGTACATTTATATTTTTTATTAATTAATTTAAATTTAAAATAATTATAATTTAAATAATAATTATTTTTAATATAAAAATAAAATAAAAATTTTAATTATTTTTTAAAATAAATTATATATGTAAATAAATATAATAATTAAAATTAATTTATATGTGATTTTAAATATTTTAAATCTTAATAATAATAATAATAATAATTTAATTATAAATTAATAAATATATTCATATATTATATAAATTTATTTATATTTTTATTAAATTATTTTATTTTAAAATAAACAAAAAATATAATTTAAATATAAAATTATATAATAATAAAATTTTATTATATTAAATAATATCAAATATAATTATATTAAAAAATATAATAAATATATTTTTATATATAAATTTTTTTATATTTTATATATTTTTATTCTATTTAATAATAAAAAAATGTTATTCTTTTAATTGATGTAAATATAAAAAATATTTTTAAAAAAAAAATTAAAGAAAACATAAAAAAAATAAACAGTAAATTTTTTTAATTATTTATCAATACAAATAATGTAAATCTATTATATTATTATTGTTATTAAATATTTTAATGTAAAAATATAAAAAAAATATTTTTTAATAAACAATGAGTTTTAGTATTATACTCAAGATCTATTTAAATGAAATCTAATTTGTATTTTTCAAGAATTAAAATAAATATTAATATAAATTTATTTGATAAATAATATATAAAATAATTAATTTATGATTTTAAAATAACATATTTAAATTTGACATATAATAAATAAATATATATTAATAATTAATAATTTTAATTTAAAATATTTTTTAACTTTTAAATTAGTATTAATTTTAAGAATATAATATCATAAATAATTATATCAATGCAAAAATATATATATTTATCTTACTTTATATTTTAGATATAATATAGTTTATAACTGCAAAACAAATTGTAAGTCTATTACATAATTGAATATTCTAAAAAAAAATTTAAAAAAATTTAAAATTTAATTTTCATTTCAAAAAAGTTTCAATAATTAAATAATTTGAATATAAAATATTAATAAATAAATATAGTTTAAAATATTAATATTAAAAATATTAAAATAATATTTTAAAAAATAATTCATTCTTTATTTGATAGTAAATTTTTCATAATTGTAAGAGAAATATTAAAATTTAAAAAAGTACTAATACAAAGTAATATAATATAAAAAATTATTGACAAATTTTTAAAAGTTTTGTTAAAATTACTTATTATATAGGTAAAGATAAAGATATATTTAATAATATATCACAATGAAAAATTAATTTAATAAATATTATCTTTTTATCTGTATTATGATTTATTTATCTTTTCATCATAAAAATAATTTAATAATATGCAATACAAAATTATAATTTTGTAAGTATATAATTTTTAATACACATTTTTAAATGCTAAATATATTAAATGAATTAATAAAATTATTTAAGTTAATACCATTCAAATTTGAATAAGACTTAAATTTATTGTTAATTTGTTATTTCTATTCTTAACATTATATAACTATCAGTGTAAAATTTTTATATATAATTAATTTTAATAAATTTTTCTTAAATATAATTCAAATATAATAATTATGAATCAATTATAATTTAAATTCTTAAGATATATAAAATATTGTAATTAATTTTAATAATTTTTTATTAAATAAAATTTATAGTTAATTTAATTTTTTATTTTTAATGTACACTAACATCTATTTTGATAATATATGTGACTAAAATTATATGTGACTAAGTATTTTAAAGTTTTTAATAAATTTTTATTAAATATAATTCATAATTAAATTGTTATTCTATTTTTAACATGTACAATCATTTATACTCTAATCATTCTTATTACTAAAATTCTACGTAATTTTGAGTATTTTAAAGTTTAATAAATATAAACTTTGTTGTAAATGTATATAATAATAAGTAGGTGTAATTAATTTTATATAAACTGATTTGTATATTTTAATTAAATTAAATTATAAAAAATATTTTAAGCGCTATAAAAAATAATCACAATTTAATAATGTTATATTTTATTAATTATATTTTATTTATTATTAGTATGTTTAAAATTTCTTTAAGAAGTATATTTATAACATGAGATTTTATTTTTTAAAAAAATATTTATAAATATTTTTATTTATAAATTAAAAATATAACTATATGATATGTCAACTATGATATGATTTTAGAAAATATAAATTTATACTATCGTAGATTAATTTAGTTAAAAAAATTTTGATAGATTTGATATAATTTAATCAATTAAAAATAAAATTTAATATATGATATCACTTAAAAATAATATAGTTTTATGCTTATTTAAAAAATTAAAATAAAATATATAAATATAATTTAATAAAAATAAAATAAAAATATCAATATTAATAATATATATACTTAATTAGATGGATAAGTTTTAATGTTGACATGATTATAAAATACAAAAATAAAGTAAGATAATAGAGAGAATTTTTTAAAAATTTTTAAAAGTTGTGTATGATAAAAAAAAAATTTCATTTGCATTATAATTTATTTATTTTATCATAAATATAATTTAATAATTTACAAGATAAAATAATAATTTAAATTAATACATTCAAATTTGAATATAAGATACAATTTTGTTTTCTATTAATTTAAGTTATTAGCAAAAAAAAAAAAAAATACATCACTTGATAACTTCATTTAATTTTTACGAATTTTTTATGTAATTTAATTAATATTTCTTTCCTTTTTTTAATATTTCACAATGAATTTTGTTTTATTTTTAATATTTAATAAATTTAAATAATTTTTATTAAATATCACTCATAGCAAATTTGTTATTGTTTCTTTAAAAAGTATATAACTATCTATATAGTTTTATATATATATATATATATATATATATATATATAATCAATTCTAATAGAATTATTTTAAATACAATTTAAAGATAATAATTATGAATCAATGATAATTTTAATTCTTAAGTTATGCAAAATATTATAATTTATTGGGATTGGTAAAAATAGTACATCTTAAAAATCTTACATTTTTCAAGGTATGTTAGAAGAAGTCTCACATTGCCTAGGATGAACAAGGCTATATAATAGACATGTGTCCATGGTATTAAGACACATCACTCAGAAGCACTTTAAGTTTGTATTTGACTTTTCTTATACTTTTATATTAGAGTGTTGTAAAGTTTAGTTTAATTACTTACTTTGGAGAGTATGAGTATAATTGGGACAAGAAAGAATAGTCTATGTGTTGTAAAATATTCACATAGTATTATTCTCTGGTTGTCATTAGACAACAACTGTGATTTTTTCTCTGATTTTTGGAGTTTCCACGTTATATTCTTGTATGATTGTTTTTATTTTATTTATTTGTTAGAAGGGTAATTTTTAAAGGGTAAAGGTGACTTTTCTTCTTTTCCCAACAATTTCAGGGCTTATGGTTGGGTAGGATATTCTTATTATGTTCTGTGGTTGCAGCCTGATCTTTCACATAAAAAAAGATTAATTCCTTGTTGTTAGAGAATCATCCTTGGTTTCTGAAGTTATAACGTCATTTGCAAGTATTGTTAAATGTGACATAAAGAAATTTGATGGAAGAATCTATGATTACACATAAGCATTGGCTAACACTGATGCAGGGTGTGCGGTAATTTTACATGGACATTAGTTAGTATTGATGCAAGGTGTGTGGTAATTGTACACGAGTATTGACTGACATTGATATAGGGTGCACAATGACATTGATGCAAGGTGTGTGGTAAGTGTACATGGGCATTGGTTGGCATTGATGCAGAGTGTGCGGTGAAAGAAAATTCTTAGAGTGGTTTAATTCCAAGTGAGTATACTCTTTATGGTGAAGTATAATTGTCAGTATAAATAATGATTGCTGGCATAGGCAATGAAAATGGAAGATGTGTCTATTTTAGTTTAGTTTAATTACTTACTTTGGAGAGTGTGGGTGTAATTGGGGTAAGAAAAAATAGTCTATGCTTGTAAAATTTTCACATTGTATTATTTTATGGTTGTCATTAGACAATGACCGTGATTTTTTCTCCGATTTTTAAAGTTTCTACATTATATTTTTGTGTAATTATTTTTATCTTATTTCTCTATTAAAAGGATAATTCTCAAGAGATAAAGGTGAATTTTCTTCTTTTCCCAACATAATTAACTTCAATAAATGATTATTAAAAAATAATTCATAGTCAATATGTTATTTTTGATTTTAACATTATCAACATTTGTTTTGACTATCTATATCATTAACCGTGTAAATGAATCTAAATATTTTAAATCTTAATAATTATAATTTTTATTATAAATATATATAGTAATAAGTAGGTAGAAGATAATATTTTATTTCTAATAACGTAATTGATTCTAAACATTCTAAATTTTTATAATAATAAAATTTGATATAAATATAATAGTTACCAATATTATAAATGACTCTAAGCATTTCAAAATTTAATAATCATAAATTTTAGTATAAATATATAAAATAAAAAATTGTCGTAATCAATTTTATATATAGATATAAATAGATAGATTTTAGAGAGAGAAAGGGGAAGGGAGAGGATCTTCTTACACCTAATGTTTAGTGAAATAATAAATTATAACACAGTTTAAGTTAAATGAAAGGCTCAAATCGAATGTAAGAGTTTTTAAACTTATATTGTGAGAGAATCATGCTTTTATATATATATATATATATATATATTAAAAAAATATATTATTGTTTTTATTATTAAATAGAATATTTGATTTAGATTATTCAATTTAAAATTGATTATAGATAAAAAAAATTGAATATTTTATTTAATAATAAGATGTTTTATTTGTATGAATAAATATTATAATTTGATTGTGATATTTTTATTTTTTTTGCTAATATTGATCGATTGTGATATTTTAAATACAAATCTATTTTATTTTTTTGACTTTGAATGTATGAATTTACTACAAACTCTCGTGATTATGTATTAATTTCCGTTTTAACCATGTAAAAAGGTGATTCGTATCATAGTATGATAATATACACTATCTAATGGGGTTGGTTTTTTATATAGTATTTAAAAATAATATATATCAAAATAGAAATTACGAAAATATAAGAATTTAAAATTTATTAATAGCCATTTTTAAAAATATATATATATAAATCCAAAAATCAGCACCGGTGACCTTGGAATAAAATTAGGTAGTTTGTTAAAATTAAAATTAGCTTATTTTATTTAAAAATTGCCATCCATATTTTTGTGATTTTCTCTAAAATATCATATTTTAGAATATAATATTTTTAAATTCATATTTATATCAATTTATCATTTCTAATGTTTAGGACTGTTAATGTCGCACTGCACCGTTAAAGAATCAAACGTAAATCCCCAAAAGCAGTTCAATATCTGAACCTTCTAAACAAAACAATTTGGTAGACCTTGTGTCAACATCTCAAACCTCACTCCTGCGTTTCATGAATTGATGCATCGAAGAAGTTATTTTTTTTTAAGAAAAAACTTAAAAAGAAATTATTAAATAAGATCTCAACAGCGTAGTTGATTCACGTAATTAACTTCACTTAAAAAAAATGACTTTATTATTATTATTATTATTATTATTATTATTATTATTATGAATAATTTGTGAGAAATTAAAATTTCTGGTAATAGTTTGGATGTTTTAAATGGTGGTTTGACACTAAAATAATGAGGTGTAAAATAATATTAAAAAAAATCTAATCCAAAACACTGTTATTTGAAGAATTATGATTAAGTTAAAAGTAAAAACAAAGATTAAAACAAACTTTAACACCAAAAATTTAAAAAGGCTAAATTTAACCAAGAAAAAAACTTAAAGGATTAAAAAACTATAAATTAAACTTAGATGACTAAATTAAATAGAAAAAGTTAAAAAATAAAATCAAATTCAAACTCAATTTTAAAATTGAAAGACAAAAATTGTAACTTATACTAATTAACATAACCACGACTTGACTGTGGAAGTCTTTGTTTGTTTTTGCAGAAAATATTATGCAGGAATAAAAAAAGAAAATCTTTTATGTTTGAATGCTTTGTCTTATATGAATGAAAAATAATATTGTCTGGACTCACCACAAACTTTTCTCACACAAAATAGTGAAATTTTGTGGGAAAAAGTTGTGATTTTTCTAATTTTTTATATTTAAAAAAATTAAAATAGTATAAAAATTACATAATTAAGAAAAAATACACTATAATTTTTAGTTTCTCACTAAATAAATTTTTTATTGTTTTAATAAAAAATAAATTTTCATGTATTTTGTTTTACACTCTTTCCATTCATCCAAATAAATAAATAAATATCTTACTCATTTTCTACGTCACTTGCTGCTGCACAAAATCCCATTCCCTCTCCCCATTACAATACTCCATTCTAGTGTTTGTCATAAAACATTGCCAGATATTTTGCATAGCCCAAGAATGCAACGTTCTAATGTAATAATGGTAGGATAGATCAACATTGAAGGAGTCTATATATAATTTTCAATTCATTAGAACTTTCTAATGAAGTTGAGGTATAGTTCACGTAATTATGGGATCATATAGGAACATTTTATTCAACCGGCTGAAAAAAAAAAAATACAATATCAACAAATACGTTTTGGTTTTAGATCAAGATGCTAGTGTTGTAGGTGAACAACTATCAACAGTGCAAGCCAAGATGTCCCTGTACTCCCTGGATATTCTGAAAGAGTCATAAACTTGTCCATCACTGCTTTTCTTGTACTCAAACAACAGGTTTGAGTGGTCAAATGCTGTAAGCTTGACAAATCCAAAGTCATGGTCTTTAAATATACTCCATGTGGTGTTTATTGGGGCAAATTCTGCTAAGGATGCTCCTCCTCCCCCAACCACTACATGTATAGTACCATTCAAAGAGCCCTTGTAATTGTGCTTCTCTTTATTGGTGCAGATATTCTGAATGAGGAGGAAAATTGCCAGTTAATTTGCATGTTAAATTATCATCTAACAAGTAAAGAGTATCTTGATAATTTAATTACTTTGATCCAATATACATTCTTGATGAGCAAAGTGACTAGTAGGAAGCACAGATACAATACAGCACAAACATGGAAATATGATAAATTATAAATCATAGGACATGATACAACTATAATACAATGTATCCCCTCCGTTTCTTTTTTTATCCGTTTACTTGTTGCAATTTTAACAGAAAAATTAATTAATAGATTTGATGTTCACGTTTTTACTAAAAGTACAATGATTTCTTGTTATATCCTTTCATCTCTCTTATATAGGTATAAGAGTTCAAGTGAAAAAAAAATGCATCTAGAAGTATTTTAAGTGTATGTGCAGACTGCAGTGTTCCGCATGGATACTTGTTCAGCACAGCTAGTAAAATTACCAACAAGAAAAGGACAAGATGAATTGTACACTCCAAATGGAGAAAGGCTATTTTCAAGGCATAGCATGTAGCCATGTAGAGCCAACTGAAGAGAAGTAAAGAAACAAATCAAAAAGCATCTATCTCTGAAGTTAGGGGAATACCTGATACACTGGGCATGTCCTTTCATAGTTATGGACATGTCCATACATGGCTATGTCGACCTTATACTTTTGCCAGAGACTTTGAAGGTCCTCCCTTCCCATTGGTTCTTCAAAGGATCCTTCTGCCACATAGAACCCTGCAGAAGAATAACCAAGTACCCTATGTGCAAGAAATATCAACCATGGCTGTTTCTGTCTGTCAACTGATGCTAGGCAATTTTCAATGAATTTATACTGTTCTGATCCTTCTCTCCAATCAAATTCTGTGTGAGCTATGCAGAATCTGAACATGCCATAGTCAACTGAGTACCTGGTAGTGTAATTTTCAAAGCCATCTTCAGAGGAAACAATATCAATAATATTTGATAAGTATACTCAAGAAGCTAGCATAATTTACTACATGTCTACGAAAATTTGATGTTTTTGGAATAATTGTTAAAGATGCTTTGTGTCTACATTCGCATGACTATGAATGTTACAAAAGGTTGAACTTGTAAACATATTGTACCAGAATTTTTCCCGGTTCTCTGCAGGAACATAAAACATGTTCTGAGCCAGTACACCACATTCACCACCTGAATCCATGTTCCCATAAAATGATCCAGTCCCTGGCCAGTCACGTTCGTGATTGCCACTAAAAGCACATAATGTAAAGCAAAAAATGAGAGACTAAAGAGTAACTGTAAACATTCAAAACTGAAATGCATGCATAACAAGCAAACCTTGCTATCATATAAGGCAAAGTTGATGCAATTGGCTCAATTTGTGCAGTAAACTGGTCCCATTGTGAAAGGTATCCATTAGCATAGCAAATATCACCAATGTGGAAGACTATATCTATGTCTTTTAAGTCTTGAATAATTTGCTTAGTAGTGTTGAGCGAGCCAGGCTGGAAATTGTTGTATTCATTGGAGCCATCAGCTTCTGCCTGCTTGTGGGATAATAAAATGAAGAGCTAAGTTATCAGTAATTTAAATCACAAGCAAGAATGCTGACATCTTTTTTGGAGATAATATATTGACAATGTACAATACATTACTTTCATTCAAATAACAGAATGTGCTAAACAAGAGAGTAATGGAAATTACCCACAGATGAAATAGCAAAGAAAGAAGAAATTAAGAGATTCAATAAACCCAATCAATTTTGTGCATATATATATTATACATTAATAAATATTATAGCTTCAGAGTTCTGAACATGGATAAATTGGAAGACCAATTAGAATAAAAAGAAAAAAAAAATACCTTTCCCATATCACCAAATATGACTACACGTTGTAAGGAATTTTGACCAGGATAAGGAGATGCTTTAAACCAATATTCTTGACTCCAAATTATTGTACCATTAAATAATCTATGTCCTAGTTTGTATATGTACCTGCAAATAGGAAAAAATAAATTGCAAGTCGAGGGTCATGCACAGTGGACAGCTAATAAAATCTCAATATGTTCCTTCATGCCACATTATCAATATTTGAAGTACAAAGGAATACAAATCCTGGTTTCTTATAATAACACAGTCATGTAAGAAAAATTACGTATAATTGATGCCAATCCTTTGCAATAAAATTGCATATGAATTGAATCTCATGATTGATTGATAATGGTGATCATTATGAAAATTTCCCTCTGCTAAGCCTTCATGCTTCTATTTCAACCAATTAACTAAAATTCCAAAAATCAAGATTTCAGATGAAATTTTCTTGTTTTCACCCAACAAAGTTGGCCATCCATCAGCATGTATCTCTGTTTACCACTTCTAGGTTCTGATATGCCAGAGTTAGCCTCATTAGTAATTATAGTAAAAAAATACCTTTTAGTAAATTTATACATATTGCATTATTTTCTAGATAAAATTAGTGAAAATCAATTTCAAAGATACAATATTCTTGTTTTCACTCAACAAAGTATCCGTCCATCAGAATGCATTTCTATTTACTGACCACTTCTTTGTTCTGATACGCTGCAAGGTTAGCAATCAATAGTACTCTGTAGTCCATTCTACCAATTAGAAGAAATTCCAAAGAGAGAAATGAAAAGATATATACAACATTACCAATTATATATCTTGCATTGTTCCACATAAATTTGGAAAAATTTAAATGGATTTTATTTGGGATCATTGATAAATGTCAAGTCTTAGTTAATTGTTGTATGAATTTGAGCACTTATTTACTTCAATGAATTGAATTTAGATTTCAATTTCCTTTTAAATTAGAAGAATTTGATTTAAGTACTTTATTTGGCTTAAAGATTGAGATGAAGATTTATCTTAATCTCCTTTTGTTACATTTCTTTATTTACAGGAGTTTAATGAAGATAGAAGGCAAAGGTGAAAAGAAAACTCATTCTCACGCTTTCTCGCTCAAGCAAGTTTTTTTCAAGTGAGAATCTCTCACTTGAACGAGAAAGCGTGAAGCAGACTTGAGTCTCTGCCTAGTTTTTGCTCAAGTGAGAGGTTATCCTAGAGCGATAATATCTTTTTAGCTTGAACAAGACTTTCAGCTTAAGCGATAATTTATTTACTCCACTTTTAAAGAAAGAAGGATCAAAAAGTAAGAGAGATCAAGAGAATGGGAAAGGAACACAGCAAGAGGAAGGCTAGGGCACATCTTGAAGACGATTGAAGAACCTTTCTTTATCCTTTTTTTCTTATGTTCTCTTGTTGTTATAGACACCATGAGCAGCTAAACCTTTTTTGGAATTGGACGTCATTTTCTATTTTGAAATATTTTGATGATTTATATATAGTTATTTATTTCTATAAATATTGGTAGTTTCATTTTATTCTTAATGTTTTATTCTATTTTATGTTATAATGTTTTGATTTAGGATCCAAAGTTTAGCTGAAAAGCAAACCTTAGAACCAGATTGAATGAAATTCACTCGGTGTATTTTGATATTAGGAATAAGTTTCAATATATCGATTGCTTATTAACTCTTATTTTTAATGCTGGAGGATTTATTGAAATTTGAGGAATCATTATTCACTAAATACTCTTAAGAACCTTGTATTTAAAGAATCGATATAAGAGAATATTAAAAGAGTGCATCTATGTTTATAGGTTAATTTCTAAATATTTATTCATAAAAATATGAAAGATGAATCATGAAATTCAATCCCAACTCAAACCCTAATATTTTCATACCTTAGTTAAATTTGCTTCTTAAATTATTGTATTTCTCATCCATGAACAATTTGTGCATATGTTAATACTTCTTTTTGTCAAAAGTTTAAATAAGGATAACAGGAATTACAAATATATCTACTAATCACTGTAAATACAACAACTCTCACTCATTATTTAAAACGAAAGCTTAATAAACTCGTCAAAATCCCAACAATCATGTCGATTGTCGAATATCTTTACAACTGGAAGGTGCCCTCAAACTCGAAAGGAAATTTTACTAAATGTAAGACCAGCAATGTTTTATGGTATTGATTACTCAATGCTGGATAGTATAGTGCCAACATGTGCATAAACCAAATGTTAAGATGAATCAATGGACACACAATAGAAGATGAGATCAGAAATGAACGTATTAATTAAAAAATTGGAGTAGCTCCTATTGAGGAATAGATGATAAAATCTTGCTAAAGATGGTTTGGTCATTTGTGAAGAAGACCAATGGAAGTCCAGAAAAGTTATTTATATGGAGCACAGCCTAATAAACAGAGGTAGACAAAAACCAAAAAGACTTTGAGACAAACCACTGAAAACGTTTTTTATCTAACTGGCCTTTCTTGACATGCACAGTGGAAATGATTTATCCATCTAGTTGAGTCTACCGAGAGGAGAAAGACTTTTATTGGAGTATACAGTATAGTGTATAACATCAGTTTAAAGAAATATTATTACATCTGGTTGAATAATATTATTTATCAAGTAATCAAGTTGCTTTCTATACTTTTTCCCATATAAGTTTATATTAGTCTATCTTTTTGCTGTAAAAGGAAATATTTGATTAGCTTGGTTTCTTTTAATTCAAAGCTAGAATGGAAAATCAACAGCATCAGTTCACAAGCAAGCAATTTCATGATGCTCATATAAGATAAAAACATTACTCTCGGTTGGGCCACAGCTCCTTCAGAAAACTAGTGTGTATGTATCCTGGGTCACGCCATCCAACAGTCCTTGCAGGTGCACCTATATATATATATATATTGATGAACAAGAAAAAAAAATATTTTCAATTCCTCTCTTTCCTCTTTGTAAGTGATATTTGCAATTACCCACCCACACTACATATGCCAATATTATCGAGATTAACAGAGTTTTCCATCTCAAAAATAACTTTTCTTTACTCTGAAATACAGATAAAATCAACATTAAAAGGTAACAGAAGAGATGCATACCACACACGGTGTTGTGATCAAAAGTTAGTGTCCCGGCAGGAGATTTCACAAAGTTCCCTCCTTTAGGGCCCCATTCAACAAAAGGCTCAGCTTCACTGATTCCATATCCACTTGTCCATGTTACAGTCATCTGTTAAAAGAATGAAGTAAATAATCTTTTGATAATCCGATTTATTCTTAATCCACATTGACAGACATGCATTTACCAACAGATATCATTCAAAAGAAAGATTTCAAATTGCAATCATATGAAATGTCTTCTGTTATAATACTCCATAAGAATGATATCCAAAAGTGGATAAAGCTTGAGATTACAATATAAAGTGAGCTTAATCTTACTTCATCCCATGTTTTCCCTTGTGCTAATCGTGGATATACTGGTGCATTTGGATTGATGAATGACACTTTATTTGACACAGCAACGAGTTTTGGCTGTCAAAAATAAAAAAGGAAAATATGAAGATAAAGTTCAGCTCAAAATCCACATTTCTGGATGCAAACATTACACACAGATAGATGGAAAATAAAGAGAAGGAACCAAAAGAATAGAACTGCAATGAAGAACAAAACAGAAAATGTAGAATAGAGTTCTCCCCAAGGGTTTCTCCTTCACAAGGATCTCTCCTTTCACTTGCACAATCTATCAAATTCACAGAATGCAGTCCCTCAATCTGATTTTTCCAATTTATAACCAATCTCTTCTAACTACCTACCTAACTAATACTCTAAGTCTCTAACTGACTAACAGCTGTCTCTTTATTCTCTTTCATTATAAATAAGGTTATATATGTAAACAGTACAAAACAATCAATTAACCTACTACAATTGCAGCGGAGTACATGGGAACAAATACTTTTTTTCTAAATAGAAAACGCAACAGAAGTCAACAAAGTGTATGCATGCTCAAACAAATCTGTTTGTTGGGAAATAAAGAGGGAGGGAGAGAGTTGTGGCAATTTCATAGTGAAAGAGCAGAGATGTGGAATCTTCTCAGATGTATTGAAAGATGGTGTTGTCTATGAGGTACTAGGAGAAATAGAAGATGAACAATACGACTGTCATGGGAGCATTGAGAGGTTGGCCTTGAATGCCTTTCAAAGAAACCATGTTTCACAAGGAACTAAATGATGAATAAAGTTCCAAATGTTGACTTTTGATTGTCTTCGTTAACAACTATCGTTTATCACTGCAACCTTTCATGATGAAGTTCCCACAAGCTATGTAAAATCATTGCAATCATAATATATCAATTAATTGGATAAACAATACAATTACAGGGTAGAGTTTATGAGAATACATTTGTTAAGCCACCCGTGAACAGAGCAAATGAAAAGTCAGATCTCTGATTAATCAGCTGAAGCTTCAAGGAACCTTTGCCTGTGTTCTTGTAACCATGACTGGAGAAATTGGCATATTGATACTGAAATTAGAAAGAAAAAAGAATTGAGTTTAGCATTATAACATTTTAAATTTCAAGACTTCTTTAACCAAGTTTTGCCTCACAAACCTTGATTGGTGCAGAACACAACAATGGGGGATTTGTTTGTATGTTTTCTGCAGGGCAGGTAGAAGCACTGGAAATTGTGAAACATTTTATTCCCAATTAATGCAACATGACATAGACATTTGTAACTTGTGATTATATAAGAATAAGATCATGATGTGAAGCGTACCTAAAGTTTGCAGGAGAAAACACTCCAATCCAGTCATCTATTGTGGGTTTTGGATTACTATATTGCAGTGTAACCCATTCTGAATTTTGTCCCTAAAACCAGTAGCAGGTGGAATCCATCAATTTCAGCTATCAAATTTTGTTTTCATCATAGGCAAGAAGCTAAAGGCAGATAATGAAGCAGAAAGAACTTAAAAAACAAGAAAGAAATCTCAAATTGTCAAAGAGGTGGCAAGTCTGAGCAAGTCACGTAATCAAAACATACCCTTAAGCCAAGGATATTAGGAGTGGCTTTGATATACGCACGTTCATCAAGAGCAAGTGTTGTTTTATGAATGACAATTTTTGAGAGTGGTTGGTGCTCATCTGACACTGCTAGCTGAAAGATTGCAAGAACAAGCAAAGAGCAAAAGAGCATTCTTGGCTGCTTCATCCCACCCATCATCATCTGAAATGCACCCAAAATTGAATAATAATAATAATAATAATAATAATTAGAAAATGAAAAACAGTGACTTTCTGCAATGAGAATAATCAACAATTACCCTCTCAATAAACTGAGATTCCAACAACATAATAAAGCATGGAAAACATAAAGGATCAATCTTTGCCCACTTAAATACAAATGTCTAGTTAAAAAACCACTTTGGTGCCAGAAAAACCAATACCCACCTCCCGAAATGAAGAAAATTGAAGATCAACTATGCATGCAAGTTGAATAATGCAAAATGGAACTAGAAGATGTTGAAGTCACCTTCGGAGAAGAACAGAACATGAGATGACAGCTCAGTAGTTTTTAGATATAAATTAAATATAAAACATTAAATTTTATAGTTTTTATTAAAAAATTACTGTCTACAACTTGCAAGATAAAGCAGGAAAAGTTTATAACATCAATAGCATATGGCTACTTGGGTTCTATATTAAGTTAGGAATTTTGAATTTTGACCGTCGAATATCTGAGAGGATTCTTCTCCGTGACCCCGATTTCTATGTGAAATCCTGAAAGGGAAACCGAATATATTGACTTTATTTTCCTCGTTGACTTAATAATAATAATTGTTTTGTGTACCATAAATATATAGTAGTTATAGATAGATTGTGGGCTGAAATTTTTTCTCTTAAAAAATGTTAAAATTTTATTTTAATTAAATTATTTTTTAATTTATATTTTACATCTTAAAAATTTATTAGATTTAGCCTTTCATGTAATTTTATGAATAAAAATTAATATATAACGTAAATATAAACATATTATGTTATTTAAATTAACTGTATCATTACTTAACAGTTAATTAAAAATTAAAATTAATAATTTTTTAGATTGTATGAACTAAAAGAATTTATAAAAATCACAATTGTAATTAATATATTTTAAGAGAAAAATATATTTATTATTTCTTCTTTCGCGCAGAGATAAATAAATAATACATTATTGTTGGTACTGTTGACTTGTTCCATACTTCCATTATATAAGATCCGCATTTTTCTGCTGCAAGTTCGTGTTTTACAATAATAAAAAAAAATGCTTCTATTTTATGTTTTATCATAATAACAAAAAAAATTTTAAATTAATACAAGAAATAGGAAAATAATATTTTATTACTTTTATATTTTTATAATATTTAAAAACAAAAAAAAATTGTTAAATTAAATAGGTCATTGATAATTTTTTATGCATTTATATTTCTTAATATCACCCTTATCGTAGTATTTCTAAGACCAAACTTTTATTGATTATTATATTATTAGATCATAATAACATTTATAAATTTTTTATTATCTTTAATTTTTAGGATTGAGTTTAAATATTTATAAATAAAAAATTTTATAAAAAAAATACATAATTATTATTTTAATAAAATTTTATTATTATTAACTATTTATTTTTCGTCCTAAATATTAAATTTAAAAAAATCCAACGTTTATTGAAGAGCCGACGGTAGAGCATTTGTAAACTTAAATGTTTGGCATCTAGATTGAAAATGGAATCTCTAAGATTTACATTTTTTTAAGATTTTCCGCTCTCTCCTGCTTTCTCTCGCACTTAAAATTAAAGAAACAGAAAAAAAAATGTATATATATATTTAAAGACGGTCATTTTATAACAATCTTATACAACTTTTTCCTGTCATAATTATTTTCCCGTAGTTCTTTTTACTTTAATCATATTTGAATGATATTATAGATAAGATTTTGTAAGAGAAGAAAATAATAATAATAATAATTTTTTAATAGTAAAAGATTACTTTTTCTAAATTTTAAAAAAATTAATTTCTAAAAAATAGAAAAATATAAATTAATTTTAATTTTTAAAAAATTTGATTCCTGTAAAGTTAAAAAATTAATAATAATAAAAGAATTGTTATTGCTACGTGCTCGAGTTATTATTAGTGTAGGATCATCGAGCTGTGTCACTTTTGTTGAACGGGAATCTCAAAACCAAAAGAACTGTGATTAAAATATAAATAAGTAGAATTAAATATAGTTTTTAAAGTGTAATTTTGATTTATGAAAAAATTATGTTTAAATTTGACTTGTATATTTAAACGAGATAAATTCAAATTTTGATTGTAACTCAATTATAATATTTAATGTATGTGTGCAATTACACTAATTTAAGTTATATTATTTTTATATTGTCAATGATCTTTATTTTTATATATTTTTAAAATGTATATAATATTAAATTTTGTTAAAAAATGAAGTATTAAATAGTATTAGATTGATATAAAAATTTTGTAGATATATTTATATTATTAGAATTTTTAATTTAGCAATTAATTTTATACTTAAATTATTTAATATAAAATTTAAATAATATAAAAATAAATGCAACTTACATCAGTGTAATAATATTCATGCTATTTGTATAACAAGAGTTTGACTCAATTAGTATTTAATAAAAAGAGAATTGTCAGTGCATATCAAACTTTTACATTTCACTAATTATGGATTAATATTTATTTTAACACTACTAATTATAGTTTATGAATTCATCTACATTTACAAAATTTTCTAAGTGTTTCTAACTACATGGTTAGAGTTACGTGTTTCTAAATCCGTTGTTATAGCTTATTTGCTTAATCTCTACACAATTATCAATGCATAAAGCTACGTTAAGAGCATAATTTTCTAAAAGTATAAAATTTTCATTGTAATCCAACAGAAATTGTAAAATTGAAATAATCATGTGTAGAGTGAGTTACAAGATGCACAAAACTTTCAAGCTTTGCATGAGAATTTGAAGAAAGAAAAAAAGAGAATTTAAAAAATAAGAGAAAAAAAAAAGAAAAAAAATAAAGAAGAAGACTTAATAGAAAATCCTTAAAATTTAAGATTTAAAAATATGACATTATAAGAGTTTTGGAAAATTTATAAACCCTTTCTCTTTAATTTAAAACTCTCAAACATAAATAAATATCATATAAACATTCTTTTTCCTTTCTCTTGTTCAAAAAATTAACTTCCAAACAAAATCTTAAAGTTACAAATTTTAGGATTTTTTAAGATTATCTAAGCATATATGTTATAGATTTTTTTTATTTTACATGATATCAGTAATTTATTTTACCTCTTTCACATAGATAATCCCAAATAAATTTTTGATATTGAAAATTTGATAAAATTTTAATGCATTTCTTATAGCTAGAATGGAACGGAACGATTAATCAGTATAACTATAGTTTCTGAAAATTCTTCTTATTATTCTACTTGTAGCCCCATCCCGTGCTCTCCCTCCAATGTGCAGAGCATCAAAGCTTTATTTAGAAGTACATATAAAATTAATAGAGGGTAAGAGAAAATCAGAAATAATGGAACAAAGAATATATGTTAATATGTTCATCCAAAACAAAATTCTTTTGATTTCTTTTTATATAAATTGCATATGAAACCGATAAATATCTGTGGCTCTAAGCCTCTATGTCAAATAAAAAAATTGAAGGTCGAAAATGGTTAGAGCATTTTCCTATTGTAGCCTTTATGTGATCCTTTGCTTCCCAAGGAGTTTCTGAGACTATTTGCATTGAACCAATAACAACATCGAAGACAGCAAAAGTCCTGCAATCCAACATAAACGAACATAAGCATGTACCAAGTTATAAGAAAATTGCTAAAAATGGGGTTATAAGAAAATGCTAACCAATACCTTTAGATTCTGGCTAAAAACTTAAAATTATAAAATATTTTATTAAAAATATAAAATATACTTACTCTTATGTTTTATAATGTATTTTAGCCTAATTTTTAATATCAAATTATTACTCATTAATTTCTTAATCAATCTTTAGAGAATTGATTAGAAGACCTAAGTTATGTGGTATTCCTAACACAATTAACTATCCCCTATGCATTGTTGTAATATTAGCCACGCAGGGTTAAACTCTTACGTACAGTTGATTAATAATTCTATGTTTAAATTGCCATCCTAAATTCTAAATCTTCAGTATTTTGTGTAAAAATCGTGTTGGAAGAGATACAGTTTCTTGCCTTAAGAGTTATATCAAAATCCAATAATTCTGATATCAAGAAGGGAAAAAGAAGGTACTAAAAGTATTTTAGACTTTGATGGAGTGTCACAAAGCAGGGCCGAGGAAGACAAAAAATAACCATCTCTATACCTCCAATAGTCAACATGGTTTGAATTTTCTGTCTCTTTGTCCCACTCCAAGCATATCCTAATCACATGAAAAATCTAAAATTCAGGCAAACCAAATTTAAAATAAAATAAAAATAAAAATAGAATAAAAAAAATAGTGAATTACAAGGAGCACCAACAGTGAACTAACCTTGTCCGAAACAACTGTGGGTGGTGTTAACCCCATTTCTGCAAACACAAGCAAAGGACTCATCCAAACTATCAAAACCACACAACCCTTCACTGCTTTCACAATCCTTACAACTATCACTATAGTAAGAATCATTATACAGCAATGATATCCCAAATTTCCACTTCATTGGGTCCCCTTCATCTCCAAATTCATACACTGAAGCATATGAGGAGCATTGCAGCTTTGGAAGATCCAAACTGTATCCTAAGCCGAGTCCTGTAGGGTAGTCATAGACACAACAAGTAGATATTGGTGCATTCTGTGGCAAACCAATGCCTGTCACCCCTTTGCAAGAATAAAGCCCTCTACAAACCCGAGAACCAGAACCTGTGTCACAGAAATCTTGTGTTGAGTCAAACAAAGGTGATGTTGTGGAACAACCTAGTAGAACAAAGATGTTTTCCTTAGCAAGTGTGAAGGGACTTGTCTTGTCCAAACTAAAGCTCCCAGAATTTTGCATCTCAGAACAGTTTGACATAAAGGGGTCAGTGACTATGACAGTGCTGGTTGGATAGTCTATAGAGGAGATGGTGTAAGTGGCTGTGGTGGTTGTGTATTGAAGAGTGCCAAGGTTGCATTTTATGTACCTAGAAAATGCAGGGTGGCCACAACCAAAACCTGTGCCAAAAGGGTACTTCACTGGGATTGTGCCACATGTGCTTTGACATGTGCCATTAACTGGGATGATGGGTAAAGCTGAAGATGCCTCTTGAATCAACAAGAGCAAGAGGGGAATGATGGGGAAGAGGGGTGTGGTTGAGGAAAGTGACATTGGGGAAGGTTTTGCAAAGTGGGAGATTTTGATATCTAGTTATGTGATGGAAAAAGGTTCCCTTTGCTGGGTTTTTCTTCTGCCTCGTGTTTCTTGGCTAATGGATCATTGAGTATCGGTCTATTCTTTTCGGTGGAGGTAATCGCTTTCAAACATGCCAATGACTTTTTGCTTCCTAAAAAGAAGAGATCGCTTATTTTGTGGAATCAAGCTAGAAAGCAATAGTACAGTGTCACACATCATACGATTTTGGAGTAGAAAATACACGAATTTGGGGACACGACACTGTTACAACGAGACAACAGAGTTATTTTTCTAAAATTTGAGATATATTTTTATAAGTGTGGATAAAAAAGTAAATACAAATATCAATAATTACATACACTACCACCTATAATATCGGCTCATTATTTTTATTATAAAATTATTAAAATATGACTTCTTTTTTTTTTACAAATTTACCTGAATATGGTAATTTTAAAAAAGTATTTTACATGTCAATTAATTAGTTATGTATAAAAGTTGTCATTTACAATTTTAGAGTGGCAAAAATATTATTTTTTTTACTATTAAAAATCGCCATCAGCGAAATTTTAAAATTAAAGTAAAAAAAATACTAAAAATTGTCATTGGTAAGATTTGAAAAAAAAGAAAGTAAAAAAATACTAAAAATAGAAAATTTATTTTAATATGGTATTTGGTTATTAAAAATACAGAAATATTTTTTTTTTTTTTGCATATTTAAGTAAATATGGTGTTTTAAAAAATGTTAATGACAACTAGGATGAAAATAGGTCAGGCCGCCTGATAGGGGCTTGTGGCCTGGTCTGGTTTAGGCCTAGCCTGACCTGACCTGATCTTTTTAATAAACAAATCAGGATCAGACCTTTTTTAAGGCCGGTTTAAGTAAACAAGTCAGGCCTGAACTGTTTATAAAGCCTGTTAAGCCTGACAGGCTAGCCTATAAATATATATATATATATATATATATATTATATAATTTAAAAATAGAGCTATCAAAATATATTTAAATAATAAATTTATTTAATAATATATTTTTATATTCTTAATTCTGTTATTATTAAATTAATATATTATGTTATAATTTTATTTATTTATAATTATAATAAACAGAAATTATATTATATTAAAAATTAAAAATATTTATACATGATTACACTTTTTAAATAATAAATTATTATATTTAAACAATTTAAAAAATAGTTAAGTCTTTGAACATGAATAAGACGTAATAAAAAATAAACGAAATAAAATTTAAAAATAAAATAATAAAATTATATTAACATATTTTTTATACTCTTAATTTTATTATTATTAATTTTATTATTTTATTATTTAATTATTATATTAATATATTATGTTGTAATTCTTTTTATTTATAATAAATAGAGATTACTTAAATCTGAATTATATTTTATTTGAAAGTAAAAATTTATAAAAAAAATGATAACAAAATAAAATAAAAAACTTATTATAATATATATTAATATATATATATATATATATATATATATAATCAGACCATGTAGCAAATAATATAAATAATGTAATTATAAATAAATTATATAATAATATATATTTTTATAACTTGCACATGTTTTAATTAAATTATTAGTCAATTTATCAATTTATATATAATTTATAAGTATGTGTTTTAATTTATTGTATCAGTAATATTCTCTATATTACATTAATATTATAGTGTAGTTAATTTTACATTTATTTGTTAATTTAAAATAAAAAATTAATGAGACAAATAAAATTAAATATTTTATAATTATTTTTTAATTTAATAGTTATTATTGTTTTCATTTTATATATATATAGTATATTAAGTTTAAATTTTTATATTAAGTTTTATCACATATTTTTTAATTAAGATAAAAATTTAAAAATATAAATTATTTTAATTTAAATATAAATTTTAATAATTTTTCCTATGCTCATATATATATATATTGCAGTAAGTTTAAATTTATTTTTTTAAAAAACATATAATTTTCTTTTAATTGATTCAACAAACTGTGTGAATGTTATTTTTTTTTTTTTTATCAATTTTATGTATTTACTATAACTTTATTTGTTGAATATATGATGTCTTTAAATAAACAAAATATGTTTCTAAAATAAAAATAAAATATTTACTATTGATATAATTTTAAAAAATAAATAAAAAAATATAAATATAAATTTTATTAATATAAAATATTTATAATTAATACTTAAATAATATTTTAAAAAATATTTATAAAATTATATAAATATTATTATAATTATTTAATAATTATTAAGAACATAGATAGAAATTAGAAAAATGTATAAACTAATTTAATAATAAAATATTTATATTTTTATTAATATTAATTTTTTTTAATAGGCTTTGTTAATAGGCTTCAAGTCAGGCCAGACCACTTAAACAAGTCAGGCTAGACCTAAAATAAAGCCTTTAACAGGTAACAGGTCAGGCTTAGGCCTAATAATTATATTACAGGTCAGGCCTGTTTAGAGTAAAGTCTGGCCTGGCCTGACCTGACCTGTTTTCATCCCTAATGGCAACTTATAGAAAAATAAAATCATGGCATCATGTTCAAGCTGGAGTTTGAGGTACTACAGAATTCTCAAAAAATATCAATGACAACTTTTAGAGGAGAAACAGGTCAAGTATGCTCAAGAGTTTATGGTGAAATGGCTCAAAAAATACAATGACAACTTATAAAGAAACAGAACCATAGCAGCATGCTTAGACTGGATTTTCATATACCACAGAGTTCTCAAAAAATATTACTGGCAACTTTTAGAGGAACAAAACTTGGTCAAGCATGCTTAGCTCAAGAGTTTCAAGTACTCAAAAATTGTTAAAAAAATGCCAATAGAAATTTGTGTATGACTCAGAAAATCTCTGCACACAGTCGTCCTTGACCTTTGGACTTTTGTAAAATTGCTAATAGCAATATTTTACCATGATCTCTGCATGCAGTTCAAGCATAGAACAGAAAAAGTTGGGAATCCTAAAATTGCCAAATGACTATTTTTACTTTGTATATTAGAGCTAGAAACCATATGTGAAAGGGAGAAAAAAATTTGAAAAAGAAGAAAGTTATGGAGACAAAAAAGGTGTGAGAGAGAGAATAAGGTAGAAAAAAAATAAAGAAAAAAGAAAATAAAAAATACTTTGATTAAGAGAAGATTGATTTTTTAGAAAAAAGAAATAATTAAAGATTCAACAATTTATTCAAAGAAACACATTTCATAAAAAAATTAAAATTTAGAGGTAAGTTCTCCTATTTTTTTTTATTATAGTTTTAATGTTAATTTTAATTACAGTTTAATTTTTATTATATAAAATATTATTATTAATATGTAGTAGTTTAGTAAAAATTTTAATAATAGTTAATTCTATACTAAATATAATGTAATAACAAATAATGAAAGTTTATTTCAAACATTATAGTTATTAAAATAGATAAGTTTTGAATTTATGTTAAAAATATAATGTAGATTTTATAATTATTGTTTTTGAAAAATGTTATCATTAATGTGAAGATTAATTATATTTTTTATATAATATAAAGTATATTATAATATAATATAATTATGTATAAAAGTTGTTATTTACAATTTTAGAGTGGCAAAAATAATATTTTTTCACTATTAAAAATCGCCGTAAATGAAATTTTAAAATTAAAGTAAAAAGACATACTAAAAATTGTCATCGGTAAGATTTGAAAATAATTAAAAAAAAAAGAGTAAAAAGAGTTAAAAATGTAATGGAGGTAAGGGACGATGTATTAATCTGATGATAACAATGTACATATACAACAAATGCTAGCAATACATGATCCTATGATTAAGGCTAGCATTAAGACATTACAAGTAAATAAGGTAACAAATAATGTTGATAATCATCGATTGGTAATCACACACTAATTATAATAATCAACATAGTCAAAGGTAATATTGGATCCACACATCAAGGGATCTTGTCTCTAATTTCCCCTTCAAACTGATGGGTGAGAGAGTCACCCTAAGTTTGTCTCTGAGTTGGTTGAATCGTGTATGAGTTAATGCTTTAGTGAGGTAGTCTGCAACTTGATCAACTGATGGGACATAAGCTATAACAATCTCATTCTGCAACATTTGATCTTTGATGTAGTGCACATCAATTTCAATGTGTTTAGATTGAGCATGCATAACTGGATTTGAAGCTAATGCCTTGGCACTCAAATTATCACACAACAATGTTGGTTTTATAGGCATAGGGAGTTTCAACTCATTAAGGAGCGAACGTGCCCATGCTATTTTAGCAATTAAGTCAGACAAGGCTTTGTATTCTAACTCTGTACTAGATCTTGAGAACCTTTTGCTTCTTTGAGGACCAAGAGACAAGTGTTTCACCAAAAAAGACACATTGACCAGCTATGGACTTTCTATCATCGACACTTGTGGTCTAATCTGCATATGAGAACCCTGTTAAGTCCAAGTCAGTGGATGGTTTTATGTGTAGGCAATGGTGAATGGTACCTTGAAGATACCTTAGTATTCTTTTAATGTCCTGCCACTGATTTATAGTGGGAGAGCTCATGAATTGGCTGAGCTTATTTACTGAGAATCCTATGTTGAGCCTGGTGTTTGTTAAGTATTGCAGTGCTCCAATAGCTTGTCTGAACATGGTTAGGTCTTGTAATTTCTCCCCTTCAGTTGTAAATTGCTTGCTAGTTACCATAGGTGTTGGACAAGGTGAAGCATTTGCCATTTTGAATTTCCTCAGGATGTCCCCTATGTACTTTGATTGTTTCAAGTACTTACCAGTTGCATCTCTTTGAACTTCTATACCTAAGAAGTAGTGCAGGTGACCAAAGTCCTTAAGGGAAAACACAATGTTGAGTTGTTTGATGAAGGACTCTAAAAATTTGGTATTGTTCCCTATGACAATTATATCATCCACATATATAAGTAAGAATGTAATGTGATCTGTACTT